CGATTTGCTACACCGTATAAATTCTTCCACCAGTTATTTTTATAGTCATCAGAAATAGAAATTTCGATGAGCCAATTATGTATAATATTTTTTCAAAAATGTAAGAATTTTCGCAAAAAAACGAGAAAAAAGCTATTTTCCATTTCGTATTCATGGCAATTATAGAAGTAGACGAGGGAAATAAGGAAAAAAGAGAGGAAAAAGCGTATTGAAATGCGCTTTTCGGGATAGTGTTTAGAAAAATACAAAGAAAAATGAACATCCGTTGAGCCATTTACTTTTAAAAATTGCATAAGGGTTGCAAAAATGCCATATACCTACCTATGAAAAAGTGGAAAAATTGCTTAGAAATCATTGCTAGGGGATTTTCCGAGGGATTTTCGTAGTGGCCGAATCCATATCTGACCCTAAAATTGCACGGGGATGCTCAGCGATGGCGCCATGGCGGTGCCGTGAAGTGAAAATTTAACCGTGCCGAGAAATTGCTCAAAAATCGTTACTCGGAGTTTTTTACAATTTACTCAAGCCACTCCTTTCTAGCAGTATACCGGCACCGGCACTGTTAATTTTGCTGCACCCCCTTCCCTCCGTAGCAGCTCCGGGAAATTTCGAGGAAAAACTGTGCGCTCCAGAAAACCCCCGACTAACGATTTCTACAAGATTTCTCCAGCTTTTACTAACAATTACCCTTAATTTGTATCACTTTTTATCACAATCTTATAGATATCCTTCTAACCTTTTCTTTAGAGAAAAATAGATCTCTTCCAAGTTGGAGCCCAAGATGGAGACTCACTGGGTCTTCTTCTATTCTGCCTTGTCATTCACCTCATAGTAAAATCACTCAAATTGCATCTCGATAATGGCACACAGTTATTGAGATTTCAAGACCATCATTTTATGAAGCGATACTGATTATTTGAAAAAAATCGACGAATTAGCTCCTGCTATAATCCTTATGAAAAGAGTGATCTTGAACTTCTTGCTTCTCCGATCGAATCATGCCATCCTATAATTTTCCATCCGAAACTGACAAATATACTTAGCTTAATGCAATTCCAAGCCCAAATCTTGGGACCTTTTTAAATAATGATTCAATCCGAATATGTGTTGGCTTAAGACTAGGTCGTAACAAACAAATCGTTACACTCCATTAACATTGCTTCAAAATTGGAACATTTGGAACCAAGTGGTCTTATAACAAACGTCCGGACGGAGCCACCAATGTAGCTTGGGAAAGGGGACGTGCGCTAGTTGGGACATATGTTGATTCGTTAGTCCCGACTAACATACTCGTAAATAAAACGAGACATTCTCAATATGAAGTGATCACGAACTCAAACATTTTCCTTACTTTTGATGTAGAAACTTCAGCTTCTCTTACAAGATGAAGAAGAATTGTCCCTTTTAAATGGCGATCGACAATCAAAAAGCTTTCTGATCCAGAAGGTTTCAATTGCCATTCAACGTGGGAATTCTGCGTGCATATTAGGGACAAATCACAGAAAGCTCAAGGTTCGATAAGTTTTTCTATATTTATAAATCTTTAAAACTAATTGTAAATACTTCAACAATTACATGTATTTAGTATTGTAAGAGTAAATCTTAATGTATCGCAAAAAAATCAGATAAAAATGATCGAATTTAAAATTAAGTTTTAAAAAAATGAGATCGCTTCGGTACGTGAAAAGTTATAGGTGAAAAACCGTAAAATACACAAAAAGCTCTATAATTTTTACTAAAAGAGTACGATTTTCAATTTTTAGGGCGATTTGGGTTCTACAATTCAAATTCTAAAATAATTGCGGATATACGTTAAGGTCGCTTCGGCGCGTGAAAAGTTATAGATGAAAAACCGTATTGTAACGAAAAAAATACACATTTTTGCTAGAAGAGTACGATTTTCAATTTTCAAATCGATTTGAGTTCTACAAATCAAATTCTAAAATAATTGCGGATATACGTTAATATCGCTTCGGCACGTGAAAATTTGTAGGTGAAAAACGGTAAAATACACAAAAAACTCTATAATTTTTGCTAGAAGAGTACGTTTTTCAATTTTCAGGGCGATTTGGGTTCCACAAAAAGTCAAAATTTAAAAGAATTGTGGATATACGTCAAGATCTCTTCCGCCCGTGAAAAATTATAGGTGGTAAACCGTAATATAACAAAAAAAATACACAAAAAGCTCTATATTTTTTGCTAGAAGAGTACGATTTTCAATTTTCAGGGTGATTTGGGTTCTACGAGTGAAAATCTAAAAAAAATGGGGATATACGTAAAGATCGCTTCTGCACGTGAAAAGTTATAGGTGGAAAACCGTTTTGTAACGAAAAAAAATACACATTTTTGCTAGAAGAGTACGATTTTCAATTTTCAAATCGATTTGGGTTCTACAAATCAAATTCTAAAATAATTGCGGATATACGTTAATATCGCTTCGGCACGTGAAAAGTTGTAGGTGAAAAACGGTAAAATACACAAAAAACTCTATAATTTTTGTTAGAAGAGTACGTTTTTCAATTTTCAGGGCGATTTGGATACCACAAAAGTTAAAAATTTAACACGTGAAAAGTTATAGGTGGAAAACCGTAATATAACGTAAAAAATGCACAAAAAGCTCTATAATTTTTACTAGATGAGTATGATTTTCAATTTTCGTGTCGTTTTGGGTTCTACAAGTCAAATTATAAAATAATTGGGGATATACGTGAAGGTCGCTTCGGCACGTGAAAAGTTATAGGTGAAAAACCGTAAAATACCTCGTAAAATACACAAAAAAAACTCTATAATTTTTGTTAGAAAAGTACGTTTTTCAATTTTCAGGGCGATTTGGGTTCTACAAGTCAAAATTTAAAAGAATTGTGGATATACGGCAAGATCTCTTCGGCCCGTGGAACTTTATAGGTGGAAAACCGTAATATAACAAAAAAATACAAAAAAAAGCTCTAAAATTTTTGCTAGAAGAGTACGATTTTCAATTTTCAGGGCGATTAGGGTTCTACGAGTGAAAATCTAAAAGAATTGTGGATATACGTAAAGATCGCTTCAGCACGTGAAAAGTTATATGTGGAAAACCGTATTATAATGATAAAAAAAAACCACAAAGGTGCTGTAATTGCTAGAAGGGTACGATTTCCAATTTTCTGGCCCATTTGGAATCTACAGATCAAAATCTAAAAGAATTAGTCAAATGTTTTAGGTTAGGCAAAGTTTAAAAATTAAACTGCAGCCGAATTTTTTCCAAAACTAGAACTGTAACGCAACGTTTTTACATATCTTCTTCCTCAGATAGAATACTTAACGTGTTTAAATGCTATTTGGTTAAAAAAATCTTTAGGCGTTTTTATAAATTAAATAGGTACTCTGTTGTGCCATTAAAAATGAAAACACATGCTTTTTTCCTGTACATGACATGCACGTATACCTACTACAACAATTTTACATACAATTTTTCGTCTTCCTGCTCTGGATTTCAGCAAATTTGTTTTCGTCTAGGTTTTCGTCTACCACAACTTTAACTAACACTTTAAAGTAAATGAACGAACTTTGCAAGCTTTTTTGTGATATAAACAAAATCCATACATGTACAAAGGCAATGATTAGTTAATCTTCCATTACAACCCCATTAGTGTTATAATTGAGGTTTGAGGCTACGTCCCCATCTTATTCACTTGCCACAACTGAAACGTCCGCAAGAATTTGGGGAATTGCAACCTTGTCTTCGTAGAAAATTAATCATAATATCGCCATGTTCATGATAAATAAATTAAAGAAGCTTCCGCGGTGGTTAACAGTCATCAAAAATTTTTGCACAGATGGCGGGCGAGAGTAATTCATTTAGAATTAAACTTTTCAATTCTTTAAGTAAAACAAATAGCGGTAAACTTATTTTCCAATGTATAAATTAGTTGCGTTCCAGTTAAAAACTGCAGAAACCTGATGTTAGAACATATTGTACACCAGAAATACTTGTAATACTATGACATGTAACTTTAGCAAGGAGGTCGCCCGGAATTACGACTTTATTCACAGAACTGACATATCTCATTAACTGCGAGAAATTGTTTCGAAAAGCTTTGTTTAACAATGGGGAGAGTTAATTCTGATACGCGACGCGTGTCTGCCATCCCCAAAGTTGCGTTATGGTTATACGTCAATTGACTGCGTTCTGTAGGTAGTTATCTTTGCTTGTAATCAGTGTTGGCTGTCAACGATTTCTTGAAACGTAATCCATTTCTGCTCGAGATCTTAACAGTAGTGGGACAAGGAATTAGCGTTAGCTTTTTTTTAGATTGTCTCCCTTTTCTGTTTCGACAAACTTTTTCCCAAAGTTTAAGAAGGGAACCAATCCATCGTATTTGGTAATTCCCGTCACCAAAAGTGAAAATGAAATGGTCACCGAAAGCACTGTTGGTCATGCTGTTTGAGGTAGTGCTCCACTTCTTACGTCAGGTACATAAATGATAGATTAACTTATGACATACATTTTTCTAACAAACGGCACATTATCGAAATACATAATAAAAGGCAGCATGTAGGGAAACATGTCTCACGTTCAACGATCGTGTGTGGGAAACGCAAGTTGGCACTGCACATGCATACTAATTTTCGTTAACAGCTACCTTCAGTCTGCGGTCTTATTGAAACAAATTACGTATACCAATTTGCGAGGAATTTAAATTTTATGGGGCAATGATAAAATGGTAACTTCCATCGAGGCATACAGCCTTAATATCTAAATTCCTCGTGCAGACTTGTTTTTCAGGATTACAATTATTTGGAGCTAGCAACTGAACTAGTTCATATGTTATATCAATCACTGTACGTGGAAATTCTTCCGATGCGACGAAATTTTCCGATGTATTTGCCTTAAGGTGATTGTCTGAGGAATCTCCGGCCGCATATAATTTCTCAAACTTTTCAAGATCGCTTCGAGCAATTTAAATTCCCGACCATCAAACTGGCTTAAAAAAAGGAAAGTGTATTAACGAATTGCTTACCTTTGGCGGTGATCGATGCAAATGTTAGCAATTAAATGATAGCCACATTTCTAATTGTCGCAACTGGCAACTTTTCAGCACCGCGCACGCACAAATACCTTTATTTTATGTACTTTTATGTGTAAGAAATAACTTAACTCTTAAAGCCGGACGGCGGTCGCACGACAGCCGCCACATAACGGAAACACTAATAACAGTCCATTTATATAGATATTATCCAGCAAGTGCTGCTGAATCCATATCCGAGCACTAGACGTGAATGTGAAGAAAACCGCGTGTACTCGTTAACTAGAAACCAGCGACTACGGCTTCCTCGAGCTTAAGACAAGAACAAGTTAGTCAGCAACTGAAGACGGACGGTAGTCGGTGGACTCCTAAGGTGACTACTCTACCAATCCCATCTGGTTACGGCAGGTGAATTGCGGGGACCGGTGGAAGATATATAGGAGTGATGGTGAGCAGACACTAGAGGGCAACGACTTCAGCTCCGTGAAGATCCGGAGGAACTCTAGATGGAACAGATGTCCAATAGGTTACTTACGTTAAACTTATCCTGGAATGCCAAATTGCCGTTGCAAGACGCATTTTGGTAACAACTTCCCGACGCTTTATTATTCAAATCAAAGGCCAACGATACCTAGATGCGATCATTAATAGCCGGCCCAGACACTTTCTTAACACTTCCCCTTTCTAGGCTTTGGCAAAAACTTGCAGCCTGTTGTTTTCTGAGAACATTCAGGGTCGCTGAATCAATTCCTTTTTTGGGTAGTTACAAACTCGCCTTGTACCTCCGATATATTTCCGTACGAGCGGATTGCTTAAAATTCTTCTATTGTACGTCTAAACAATAAACCATACTAAAAACAACGACAATTTCTCACGACGACGGTAGAAATATTTCGGACGTGAGCGCCGCGCCGCTGTCGCTTTACTCCATCCCATTACTGTTCTTCTCTTCTTCGTCCCAATGCAAGACACGAGACCAACAATTAATTATTAGAAAGATGCCAATTATTTTCAAATTATTTACTGGATCCATTCATTGAATTGCGAAAGATCAAACTAATAAACAATTACGGCAGCGCGAGGCGTGACCAATTAAAGATATATACGTGCATCGGCTTTTATGTTATTTTTCTTTTCCGTTTTCGTTTCTCATATCAGCACAATTACGTGAAGAAGAAGAATAAGAAAAAGGGAGGCGTGAATCTCTAGTTAAAATTCAATTTCATTTTTTTCTAATTCGGCATAGCTGACATGTTTTATTTTAATGGACAGAACACTAATAGCGAAGGGGCAAAAAGGTAGGTGTAACGAAAATAATTCGATGTTGTACAATTTTTAATCATCATCGCGAGCAATATTTGCTGATGAATTGTTTCATTTTAACTGAGGGCAATTAGGTTTCTTGGGTTATCCGGTTCGCTGGTGCAATACGACCCGACATTTAATTAAGTTTATTACGGATATTAGAAATTAGTAAAAAGTTACATACAATTAATGCGATCACCGACATACATTTTCTATACGTACGTACATAATGATCGTCTATAAATTCCTTCTTGGATCCTGTTAGATGTTTAAACAATTACGCGTCGCCGTGCCATTGAAATGAAAACAATGCAAAAATTGGACCGCTTTCGCTTCTAGACGAAATCTTCCTGCCTAGGGAAAGTCATTCACATTCACAAAAAGACCGTCGCCTACCCGATTCCGTTCCCAATTAAAAGCAAAAATTTTGATTTCTGAACTTGTTAGCGTACCCCCGTTACACAATTGTGTGTCGACAAATTTATTCAAACGCCATCGTTAAAATCTTAATCAAAAACGAGTTTAATCCAACCACTAATCTCAGATTATCCTCCTGTTAATGTCAACTACGGTATATCCTGAATCATGGACACTTGCGTCCAAGGTAATTAGGTGAGGCAGTTGCGCCTCCAAATTTCTTTTCATAATGGTAACGTGACAATTGGTAATGAAGGTGAGAGAATTGCGTCCCACAAAAAAGTGGCTTTGATGAAGACTCCAAAATGTTGAAACGTTTTATTGTAGTTCACGTTTAAAATGGGTTGAGGTATATTTGCGTGGGTAATTTATTTCAAATAGGCGGGTAAGTAAAGCTATTACACATGAGTACTGAAAAGATAAATCCATGAGGGTGGTAACCAAAGGGAAACAAGAGTGCCCCACTTGAGATAAACTCATTGTTGAAAACCACCGCAGTCTTTTGTTAGTGAGTGATAGACAGATTCTTCGCTTTAACTTCTTTTTTGATTACATTATCGAAATGCGTTTATTACAATACCGTTTTCAAAAAGGTATAAGGGGTCAAATAAAAAATGTTTAAATGGAACACCATGTAGGTATATTTTAATCTAAACAGGCAGCATAAAAAATTTGCTTTATAAAACTATAGCACACCAAGGATGATATCTGTACCTCAGAGGTAAACTGTCCATTTTTCCCCAAAAATTGCTTTTTTGTACTAAGTCACATAAGTTCTGTTGTTCTACACGAAATATATGGGTTTAGTATTGTTTGATGATAAACAACAGAGTTAGCGAATTTTAAACAGTACTAAGTCGCAGTAACATTGCGAGGTAAACTGTAATAAGTGGACTCAATATCAATAGTTGTATTGTTTTGATGGACTTAGTACCTCATAAGGAATATGTTTCAGGTTTTTTAGCGCATTTTGTAAGAATAAAAAAAATGTGCTATTGTTTGCGTTTTGTCCGTCTCTCCGTTCGTCTGCCCGGACCCACTTCTGCCGTTTCGAAGATTCGCACTACTTCTAGAGTCCAGGAATTTTTGCAGCCTTATATACCTTGAAGGTGTTCCAAATGGCCATCAAATTTAATTTCGCTGTCCACCCCTCCCATCAATTATTTCCTGAGATGGGAGTGGAACATGTTTATCCTTCATGGTGCCCTAATGAAAAGTCTCACAACGAAAGGAATTAATTTCTATCAACCATCGACCCTCGACTTTTTATCGTGTTCGGATATATTCCCGTATATCTCCAGGACGGATTATCGGAAGAGGGGACTCACAAAGGGCGATTGGAACATCTGCAAGAAATATATCCATTGGTGATGTCAAAACTTTAAGAGCGAATATCTCGAAAACGGTTTGTCGGAGGAACGTACTCTCATAGGCAAAATCTGCAGAATGGAGTCTCGGATAATTTTTGCCAGGCGGTCTTTAAATGTTTGTATGTAAAGAGCCTCCTCCCTTTATAACCCAACCATTTACTAAGCTATATCGGTTAAACAAAAATGCGCTTTATCTGCACAAGGGTTGTGCACAATTTATACTTGTTTATTTATTATTTTTATAATATCCCATTTATGGCTGTCATTCTTCAATTTAAGTGTCTTATTAAAAATCTGCTTTAATCCTCAAAAAATTTATACTTGTTTCTTATCGTTTATGGAGGAAATTTTCTACAAAATGATGACCATTTCTTTCTTACAAAACGAAGAAGATGAATAGTTGAACAGTATTGATATATTTTTTAATTTCAATAAAATTATTGAATTATAAGTTGTTTATCAAATAAATAGATTTTTTTCTAATCTGAGTTGTGATTTCATACAGGAAAAAAATTCTCCACGCCCTGTACATGATGAAACCATGCTTGCTTCCCCTTTTCGAGCAGAAATGTATTAAAATTGGTTTACACATAACAATAATATGTCCATCATTCGAAACAATTCATAAGAGGTAAACAGTACTAAGTCCCAACAAAAATTTTTGATAAAATTTCAAAAATTCGACCGTACATATGTAAACTTACTAGTTATAAGTAACATGGTTCTTCATGATGAAAGTAATCAAATGTATAGGTTAATAAGGTCAAATTATTCCTTTGTGCTTCTTATAATGTGGTTTTCTGTAAACTTTTGAATTTGTAACTTAGTATACTTTACCTCTGAGGTACAGATATTCAAAAAGATTTGAGTGATTAAAAAAAATTGAAAAGAAAGGTAAAAATGGTGTCAATTAGTAAAAAAATTTTTGAATTTTTTCAATCTCTTTTTAAATTGAATTTTAGAAAAAATCTTTTGTAATAAACACATCCCTGATAACTCAAAAATAAAGGACTGCAGGTCAGTTTGACTTTCGAGTTTATCTCAAATACAAAGGTTTTCGATGTCTCAATAAGGAATGGCTCATTTGATCTTTTGAGCCTTGAAAAATAACATTTGCTTTGTTAGAATTCACGGTTAATTCTTTGGGTCATTATTTATTATGTGAACTTTTTGAAAAAATAGATTGCGTATGCGAAGACCCAACTTTCTTATTTATAAGCGGTTTTTTCTGAAATTTTAATGGAAACTGCTTCTTAAAAAAATAAATTAAAGGTAGGTAGGTACATAAAAAATAGACTGATGCGCGTACGGAGACTAAAAGCCGCAATAGAATTATTACGCATCCACAGACTTACATTATTTATTTGTGACACAGTTCTCCTGAAATTTCAGCGGAAGATACTCTGGTAATGATAGTTTTTTTTTTAAATTTCAGTAACTCAAATTCTCCTTCAAGATGGTGCTTTACGTGGATATTCGCATACCATGTAATAGACGTACAAAAATTACCGCCCTTTAATGTTTTAGGGCCATTTACGATAGTAATAAACCAAATTTGTAAGTTTCAAAATTCGCGTTCTTAGATGTAATACAGCCACAGATTTAGAGTTAAGGTTATAACAATTTTCGAAAATGCCCAAACTTTGAAAATCTAAACAGGAATGCAAATCTTAACAGGTCTATCTAGACTAATTTATATAATTTGAATGGTTCTTAAATGTCGCACACTACGAAACATACCTACGTTCGTAAGCTAAGAGTTGCATTTTCTTAGAAGGAGATGTTTTGGGTGCAAATTTTCCGAGAGTGAATATATACTAGAGACCTACAATCTAAGAGCCATTTGGTAATTTATTACTGTAGGGGCCTTTCGTGTGTTGAAAAAGCTCTTATTCATCCAGTTCACACGAAAATAGTAGTATTTTTTTGAAAAATCATCATTTTTTAAGTATTTATTTAGTTTATTTTAGCAATTGGTCATAGTTAACATTTTTCAAATTACGTACGTACATTTTAGCGTAGATTGAAAAAAATAAAAATTAGGGGACTTCATTTAAAATAAAGAAGTGGAAGTTTTGACCCTTACAAAGAATTAAACACTGCCCGAGTAGTAAAAAGAGGGACGCAAAGAAAAATATAAAATTTCAAGCAAATAATAAATATTTCGAGGTGCATTAAAGAGAGCACCAGAGGCAGAATATTGTAACTTTTATTTATTGGCATTACACTATATAACACTGCTCCCTCCTT